TTGTTCAGTGGTTGAAAGTCGACAAATTTCGCGAAAAATTCCCGAATCGACTGAGCCATGTTAGCGCATATGAAGTGAGAATTTCTTCTGGAATTCTGAATCAAATTACAATAAAAAATATATATGGCATTATTCGCGGATAACATGGAATCATCCCCGGTAGTCCTCACACAGATACACCCCTTTACCTCGCTTTTCTTCCCTCGCCCTCTTTCTCTGCTCCCCCTCAACCTGCTCCAGAACGAGGAAAGCTAAGTTGTAAGATCCTCACAACTTCAGGTAAATGCTCTTGGACGAAAACCAAGACCAATGAATTTGCAAAAGTCTTAAACATCCCAAATCCCGTGCACTCCGCAGCACGTAGGCAACTACGACAACCAGCTCTTCTTTGCAAAAACTATTCCTTGAATCTGCTATAGCATTTCTTCTTGTTATGATGCAGTCGACGATTTCTCCACTCTTCTCTGCTTCGAGCTCCTTCCACCTAAATGATTCCATCCAATCGTCCGAACGGATCCTTTCACCGTATCCTCGTCTTCTTTGAAAATTGCCTGACTGCCAATTGTTATAGTCCCAGTTGCCCATCCATCCAGTTTGACTCATCCGTAACGTCACAATCATTCGAGCAGTCGACCTTTAAATCTAATGATCAAGCTGTCACTGGGATGCAAGTCCAGCCCAGCTGCCCCAAATTTGTTTCCCAGATGACCAGCCTAGCTCTTCTTCTTCACAAATACCGCCTTGATAGCGCCGTTCACACCAGAGAGAGGCATTCTCATGCAAAAATGCTGCAAGCAGCTGACAAGCCTCCACTTCTCACTAACTTCTTTCCAGCAGCCCTACCGCGCTTCGCTTTCATGGAGATCAAATTCCAGCTAAATTAGCACGAAACCAACTACAAACCGGAAACACGCAGCTCAACACCAAAGGACCCGGAATAAATACACACGGAACATCAACAACATCCCAAAAAGAATGATACTGGAGCCACACCAACACTTCGGATGACCTAGGCGACTGAGAACGCGTCGAATGAGTGATCGCAGAATTCCAGCGAAAACCACTGTCATATTTCCCGGCTATTCT